CGGTTTTAATAACTGCGGTATAGCGAAGGAGTGCTAGATGGAAAAACAAAAAACCAAAAAACAAAACAAAACACAAAAACCACCGAGCCTCCGAACTCCAGTGTGAGCATCAGACACGATTCAAGCTTCTCAGCATCCACATCGAATATGCTTAGTGTCTAAGCACGGTTTGACACTTGCAGCCATATCCAAAAAAAAAAAAAAAAAAAACAGCGTATCAGCAGCTTCCCTGCCTTAGTCCTGCCCCTACTGAAGATAGGATTTTCTTTGGACTTGAATGTAACAGTGCCCTTTGCGTTTTACGTTTTAGATTCTAACGGGAGATCGCATTGCTACGTGCCTTTCTCCTTTGGTGCATGACCTGATTTGTAACCTTGGGTTTGAACTCAGAGAAAATTGCGATATCCATAGCATTGTAAGTCAGAATGGGGAAGTCTGCTGGGAAGCACTTACAGGCCGTGTAAGCTGTGCAGAGTCAGGTTCGTATTGCCTTTGTACACCAAGCTTCGGCCAGTACCGTTACACTGAAAATGTTCCTTCGGCCTGTGAAACAAACCCTCCTTGGCTCTTTTTTCTTGGAGGATGTTAAAATGTGGTTGTCAGAGGAGAAAAAGAAGCCTGGGAACTATAGAGAAGTCAAGAGATGCTTAGATAAGAAAATTGTGTGTGAGCAGGAGGCAGGCCCAGGGATACTGGAGTGGATCTCAGGTCCTGGATCCACTAGTCACTAGGTGTATACACAGCATGGATAGTCTGGATAAAGGTCAGGACAGAATGTGTTACTCAGAACAGCACCTAAATATGAATTGTTTCTGGATTTCAGTATTTCTGTAGTTGATCGTAACTAGAACTACAGCTACACATACTCTACTGGTAGTAAAGCCTTTCACATTTCACAGTTCATTTCTGCTGAGCTGCAAGTACTACATTTACCATATGTCCAATTATAAGCTACCTGATTTTGTCAATGTTTAGTAGTTAAAGTTTTTTTTTTCTTTTTTCATCCCATGACACAGAACTGCAGAGCTAAAATTTATTTTCTCCTCCTACAAGGGCAGAGTCTGGATTACAGGGGAAGTGTGCGGATGCTGGGTCCTGTCTGTGAGGCCATCCATACACATATCTTATCTCTGACCAGGGCGCAGTTTGAAATTAAGTATTCACCGTGGTTCCAGTGGACTGCCTATCCTGAGGTTTGACATTTGTGTTTGTTTAGAAATAAAAGACTTTGCAAATTGGAAATCCTCATTACTGGCCAAGTTAAAGGTGTCTTTTTCCGTTTTGTTGTTGTTGTTGTTGTTTTGTTTTGTGCAGTTTTTCCCCCCTGTGTTTCATTTGACATGTTAAAGGACTTAATAAAACAGTACCTATAGCATGTCTGATTCTAAAACAGAGTCTAGTAAGGTGAGCTGCGTTATAGAGGAAGTAAACTAAATCATTACAGAAATAAGAAGTAGGTCAAAATATTTTATTTCAATACTATGCCAAACTTAAGCTTTAAAGAAACAATTAAAAAAAACTTTCAAAGAACTCCTTAGATATTAAATAATTTTATTATAGTATTTTAATAGGAACTGTTTGCTTATACCAAAAATTTAAATGTAGTAGTTGAAATATTAAGAGGCTTGAATGCAGTAATAGTATCTTAAAAATAATTTTTTGTTTTGAGGATGATTTTTCATTGAATCTGAACTCTAATTTATGTTTTGCTCTGAATTAGTTGTTTCTTGAGATATTTGATGCCGTGGAAAGCCTGAACTCTCCTGCCATCTCCCTCAGTGTGATGAAACTGGCTTCCTGTCTGGAACGAGCCTTAGGGGATGTGAGTGTGAGAACCCTTGTTGTTTGCTAGGTTACCTGGGTGAACACAAAAACTTAAGATTTCTTGTGTTTTTGTTATTATCTTCCTGTAAAATACAACGATCCTCTTTTTAACATAATTAAGGAATCCTAGTACCTGTGAGCTGGGAGATGTCTCAGTAGATCAGAGTACTTGCTGTGTAAGCAGGGGTACCCGAATTCAGATTACAGCATCTATCGATACCTCTTGTAACCCCACATTGGAGGCAGGAGGATCTCTGGGGCTTTCTGGCCTCTATTCTAGATCCCTATCTCAAGGGAATAAGATGGTGAGCGATAGAGTAAGACACCTGATGTCCTCCTCTGGCCACCTTATGGTACGTGTGGTCAGCACACACACACACACACACACACACACACACACACACACACACAATGTCTAAGCACTTTCCTGTGTCCATTTGTGCTATGCACCATCAATCATGCTCTCTCGGTTTTAAAGTATTTCCTCATAATGTATTACTGTATGATTTCCGTTTGAATTTTAGGTATTTTTACTGCTCGGGAAAGAGTGCCCCTTTCTTCTCAGAGATCTCCTTGCATCTGCAGAGCTCGCACAAGTCTTTGGACATGGTGTGGTAAGCATGTAAACAATTCATAAAGCGTGGAGTAAGCTGGTGTTAGCTGTGCTCTTGATATTCCAAAACTACAGTACTCTGGGGAAACTTGAACTGTTTCACCGGCTAAGTGTATCCTCTCTTCCTTCTGGGATTGTACCTCTTCTCCCACGTATCCCAAAGGATATCTCTCCCCAGATCTGATGGTCCAGCCAGAGAGACAGTTAGAAACATCACTTTGTTCAGTTAAGTATTCGCAGTGGTAGTACGAAGTCCCTACAGCAGTTTGGAATGAGTGTTATATATTTGTCCTAACACGCCCATGTTTCTAACAGGTAGGAATTTTTATCTTTTGCATTCATTCAGACAAATAGTGGCAAGACAAAAACAGAACTCAGTGAGAAACTACCGAGGCCTGTATACTTTTCATAGTATTCTCGAGGGACTGTGACCAAGTGAGTTCAGTCAGACTAAGTGGTGACATGTAGGCAGCTCATTGAGGCAGATGACTAGAACAGCCATCTTAGTGGAGTCTTTATTTGGGACTGAGAAACCATCTTCAGTGAGCCCTACCACTGCTCACTGGGGTCATTTCCCTTTCTAGCTTAAAAATAATTTCTTCTGCTACAGAGCCTGGGATGAGGCTGGGGCATGGCCTCTTGTTGCTCTACTGAATCATTAAACACAGTCTCTTCCTGCCTGCCACCTGCCATTCGCCATTTTCCTCTGAATGGCCACTTTTAGCCTCTGGATGATCTCTTGTGGCCACTGACAGGTGGTATTTGGCATATAAAATGGAGGATGGAAGCAGAGACTCCTGAGGTTGCTCCAAAGACATGGCTATTGAGCACTGGTGTTGGGTCGAACCCCTCTGAGCTTTCCGCCTCCTGGTTCTGTTTCAGAGGCTCAGAAAGCACCTCTTTCTGCTCTGCAGCAGCCGCACATACACAACGCTGCTTTCATTTCCTTCCGGAGTGCCGGCTGGTCTCTCTCGTTGAATTTGTGGGGACGCAGGACATGGGTGCTGCCTAGCTGTGGCTTGTGGCTGCTGTTCTCATCCTGTTTGTTTGTGTGTTGTTTTACCACGTAGGCCCACACTCTCTGGCGTGGAGTTTGTATCCATCATTTTCTGTGTGTGCAGATCCTGGGCACCTCTGGTGAACCATGTTGAACCCATGTACTCTGAGTCAGCTTCTCATCCTAGGACTGCCCTGACGGTCTGGTGGCCTCTGAGACCTTAGCTTCACTTGCGTTACTCTCTGGGCACGGTGGGAAATGGTGGTGCCTTCCCCCAAGTGTGTCTATCGTGTGCTCAGTACTCAATAAATGTTGGCTGCAGGCCAGGGAAATGGCTTATTGGGTCAGTCCCCAGCACCCACATGGTACAAAGGGAGATCTGACGGCTATATACTGTCACACAGTAAATGGGAATGTATAAAACGTAATGTTAGTCTCACTATTGTTACTACTTCATGCTGGCAGAGACTGTTGTCTTAGTAATAAAGGAGAAGCAAACGATGTAGGAGTTAGTTTATTTACCCCACTTGTCAGTAACCTGCTGTCTTCATTGCTTAGATGGACGTACTGAAAGTCTTCATCGGGTCCCCCTGTGGACTCAACCTGAGGAACATCTTGTGGCATGGCTTCGCCTCCCCTCAAGACATCCCTCCAAAGTAGGCCATTGGCTAAGTAGCTTTCTTTCTTAATCTGCTTCAGAATTTGCTATATCTCGAATTTCCCGGGAGGAAGGGGTTAATTGTGAAAGATGGGAGGATTTGAGACAGGTTCAGGTTGCCTTGCACCCCGAGAAGAACAGACAGAGAAGCCTGGACAGGTAGAAAGACTGGGCATTTTGAAATCTTAATGACCTTCTGGCTATTGCACAGCTTAACATCATCTGTGGAGAGTTCCAGAATCTGGTGGTGTTATTTCTTAGTTCTTTTATTTTTTTTTATATTCATTTATTCATGCACACATACACCACACCATTGGTGGGGAATGGCTCTCCTTCCAAATGTGAGGCTGGGGATTTAACCGAGGTCATCTGTAGTCTCCTTTACTTGCCAAACAATCTCAATCCCGCTTCTTACATAATTTTAACTTTTTGTTTGTTTGTTTGTTTTTTGTAAGAGAAGTTCTTTGTATGTATGACTAAGTTCATTTTCTGGTCTCTGGTCTTCCCTAGATACTGTTCAACTATGCTGTTGTTGACTGCGGGACTGGGTCAGTTACTGAAGAGCTACCTTCACCAAACAGAAGTCACATTGGCACACCGACCTTTTGTAACTCTTACAAACCTAGAGGATGTGATTGTTTTTCCTGGCAAGTTCTGTGTTTCACAGGGGGTTCACGGGGGGGGGGGGCATTTGCAGTTTTTAAGTAGCAACGCTTGGTGAAGTCATCACCTGTCATTGCCGGGCTGGCTTCGTAAAGTCTACTTCTTCCCGCCTTTGTGGGTTCCATGGGGGACCCTCTTCCTCGGGTGTGCTCCGGTTCAGAACGTCCTGGGTGCCTGTCTCCCCCTCCCCCATCCTGTCTGCTTCAGTTCTCACGGCATCTTACCAGCTGTGCCAGCAATGGAAAGCCTTGCCCGTCCCCTCTGAGAATACGTCCGACCCTCCTCTTGGCCAGTGCACTGCCCCAAGTCCCTGAAGAGATTCATTTGCCCATCTTTCCTCATGGCAAGCTTCCTGAGGCCACTCTGCTGTGGCTGGAGGCCACGTGGTGTGCCTCCTTTTTTAGGAGTGCTCTGCCCCAGGCCACAGCTCACCTTCATTGGATTACCTATCCACAGGAGCTCCTGGCTTCTTTCAGTTGGCTGCTGTGATTGTGCTCCTAAGGGTACTTGCTCTTTCACAGGCGTTACTTACGAGGTGCTCTCAGCGTTAGAGAAGGCGATGATGAAATCCACCTTCGTACTAAAAATCATGTTACCATACTGGGAAATGGCAGTGACCAAGTTCAAGTTGCACAGGTAACCAGGCCTGTTCTGCGCCCTTCGCTGTCTAAAGCTCAGCCACTGTCCTGGAGAGATCAACTCGGAGTATTTTCCTCTAATACTTAGAAAAGCTGTAACTATTTCAAGTGTTCCCTGTCATCCTCTTGGTGCAATTAACTTTTCCTTTTCTTTTCTTTTCTTTTTGTTTTTGTTTTTTTGAGACAGGGTTTTTCTGTGTAACACTCCTGACTGTCCCAGAACTTATTTTGTAGACTAGGCTGTCCTTGAACTCACTGAGATCTGTTTGCCTCTGCCTCCCAAGTACTGGGATTAAAGGCGTATACCACTACCACCTAGCTACATAACTTTATTTTTTTAAGAATAAACCTAGTATTTTTCTCAGTTTTTACTGTAAGAAAAGAAATTGAACCTAGCAATACAGAACCTTGAAGGAAAAAAAAAAAAAAAAAAAAAAAAGGACATTAGATTCCCTCAAAGGGAAAGCCAGGCACAGCATGTTTTCAGTGAGGTATCAGTCAGAGAACCAATCGGTCAGAGAACCAATCATTTGGTCGCTGCTGGCCCTCAGGTAACCTCATTCTTGGATTCTTGGAGTTTTTGCTGTTCTGGCCATCCTCAGAAGTGCATATAGATCTTTGATGACAGTTTGTTCTACTGACACCACTAAAGGTATCACTGAAAAGATCTCATCGAGCATTAAAACACCACCCACCCAAACATGTTTTCACAGGCCCTGGTCTGATTGGGATTGGCTTGGGTTGCTCTCCCTCTCATATTAGTGAGCTCTATCCCTTACTCTCAATGCCACATCGGTTGTTCTAGGCTGCGGTTGCCATCGCTGTGGCATTTGCTGATCCCCCCGGGTTCCACAGGTTTGCTGACTGCACCATGCTGCTGCTGCCGCAGCTAGAAGCTGGGCTCAGGAGAGTTTTTGCTGCAGTTAACAAATGTCCTGATAGACTCCTCACAGCAGAGGTACATGTGTTTCTGTTACCAACTCTGGCTGGGGGTACTGCACTGACAAATTTTCTTTGGCTATTTAAAAACTTAAAGGGCTGGAGACGTAGCTAAGTTGGCTGAGTACTTGCTTAGTATGTGCAAGAACCTGGGTTCAATCCCTTACAGCACACACACACACACACACACACTCACATGTATATACACACACACTCACACACTGACACACACTCTCATACACTCACACATACACACTCACATACACACACATACACACTCGCACACACGCATACACACATACACACACATACACATATACACACTCACACACACCACATTTTATTTGCTGTTGAAGCACACATTTATTTTAATTGTGATATGTCAGATAACCCTGTTTCCAAACTGTCCTTTAAACTTAATGTTGTATGAAACAATTCTTCTGAGGGCCAGAATGATATTACCATTTTGTTTTAATTATTTCTCTTTTATCTCTCCCCCCTTTTTGCAGTCAACAATTTTATATACCACATTTGATGAAGTAAGTAGTCAAACTTGCAAAAAGCTTTGAAAACAAATCGTCTTTTTAAATACAAAAAAAAAAAAAAAAAAAAAAAAAACAAAACACACACACACACATAAGGATTAGGGCTGGAGAGGCAGTTCAGTGGTTAGGAGCCCTTGCTGTCCTTGCAGAGGACCTGAGTTCAGTTTCAGGCACCCATGTGGTGGCTCACAGCCTTGCATAGGCATGCACCCGCGCGCACACACACACATGCAGGCTAAACACTCATGCACATATGATAAGTAAATTTAAAATAACTTACTACTAATAAAACCCACAAAGATGAACTGTAAGTAGCATGCATACCGGAAAAAATGTTGATAAGCAAGAAGGAGCCTACATTAGATTTAAATATAGCTCTGGGTCCATCCTTCAGTTGATTGATTGAATGCTTGCCTGGCGCTGAATACACCCTGCATGGCGGACGTACCTGTCATCCTAGCCCTTGTGAGGCAGAGGCAGGATTGAGGGCAACCTGTAATACATGAAACCCTGTTTCAAATTAATAAATTTAAATAAAGCTATCAGGTTAATTTTGAAGCTCACTATGATTAATCTCATTTCTGTACTTATCCAAAACACGAAGTGTGAAAATGCAAACAGATCGACGCTCTTGGCTATAACCACTGTTGAGCACAACTGTCCTTAACCAGTGTAACAACTTTAGAAATTCGAATATTCTAATTGTATGTGTACAGAACAAAGTCTGTATTCATGTAGGTGCATTAGTTTGGGTATGCAGTGTGTGTGTGTGTGTGTGTGTGTGTGTGTGCGCGCGCGTGCGCGCGCGTGCGCCTGTGCGTGTGAGTGTGAGTTTCACAGCTTACTGACTGATCTATTTTTGGTGCTTTAGATACTGGCAAACCACTTGAATGATGGCAGCATCAACCAGCTTCCTCCTTTCCTCGGAGAGCCTGCCATGGTAAAGTATGGGGTATCGGGTACCACCAGTCTCATGTCTGTGTGTTTATGGACGTGCTGGCATCTAGAGCAGAGTGAACGCTGTGCTCTGCGGTGTGCTCAGGAGCTGACTGCTGCTGCGCTGTCATCTTGCCCTGTCACAGACACTCATCAGGGGTGACTGTGAGTGGGCACTGGGCTTTGCTTGCCCCTGTGCCTCTCATGCCCTTTGAATGCCTGGCCACTTGGCTGCCCACATGTTTTTACTAAAGAAAGGGCTACATTTGCTTTGCAAAGCTTAGCAATAGTCAGATGTCGCCAGGATTAAGTGTTGGATGAAATGGAATTAATGTTGTAACCATTTTTCAGTGGGTGTTTTCTGTTTTACGGGGACTACAGTGACCGCTCTAGACTCTACTAGATACCTTTTGTCTACCCCACCTCACTGAGAGGAGATCTGGGCTCCACTCCCCATCCCTTATGTGATTTTGGCACCCCTCCCTACCCTCAGGCTGCAAGATGACTGATTTATCTGCTACTCTTTTTTTGCCTTGAGCCCCCTGGACTCTTCCTGTGTTGGCAGTCTGCGCACATCAGTGGCTTTCTGACATGTTTCTCCATAGTCTGGCCGAGGGAGGCTTTGGGCATGTGCTGTTAGAGGAGGGAGCAGCTATCTTTGTTGATGTAAGATGCAGGAATGGTCCACGGGAAATGCAGCGGAAGGGATGGCTCAAGGGACACCTGCTTGCTATGCTCATTCAAGCAAGAGCAGCGACTTAACGCTTCTTTAGGAATGTTTCTTTCCTGGTGACATAGGAGGGTAAGAATGACAGAGAAATGAGTGCCTTAGGCAGCGACTCCTTCCTGGCAGCTGCCTCAGTGGTTGGCGCTCAGCTCCTATGGCAGGCTGGGGAGCAAGAGCTCCCACTGTAGTTCCAGCTGCAGGACGGGTGAATGCCCTCTTTGAGGCTCACATTTCCCATCAGTCTGTAAACAAGCCAGGGCTGCCTGGAACCCTGCCTTTCCCTCTTCCCTCTGCCACAACACTAACAGAACGCTTCTCTGTTAATTCTCTAAAAGGAATTCTTGTGGGATTTCCTGAACTATCAGGAGGGTCCCCGCATCCGAGATCGTCTGAGCCACGGGGAGATCAACTTACGTGAATTTCCGAGAGAAGCGGCAAGCCAGCTGCTCACATTCTCCCTGGTGCTTCTGCTCAGATTCACTGAGGAAGGCTCCCTGTCAGAGCTGAAGGTACCCCAGGGAGGAGGGCACTGGCAGAATTTACCACCGCTAGCAATGGAAGAGCATGTCCGCCTTTTCACACAGGATTACCTATTGATCGTAAAATTTCATTTTACCTTGAGTTACAGCAGCGCTCCATCAGAATAACTATAAACTAACAACATACATGAATGCATTCTCTGAAAAATCATAATTGTGGATCTAAAACGATTTGTCTTCTCTTAAACACATATTTGCCGTTGTTCTTAATAGCAGCGTTGGTGGTTAAAAAAAAAAAAAAAAAACAGTTATAAAGCATGATTAGCCAAATGCAGGAAACTCTCACAAGTCTATGTTAGATTGATGGAACAGAGTATTTGCATTTCTGAAACTAATGATTTTGTTATTTTTAAAGTAAATCATTTCAGTTACAGCATTGTAGGTGGTATTTTTGTTTTCAGATTTTATATATGACAATTATTTTTTTAACTGTTTAAAAGTCCAAGCAAGCCAGGCTGTGGTGGCGCACACCTTTAATCCCAGCACTGGGGAGGCAGAGGCAGGCGGATCTCTGTGAGTTCGAGGCCAGCCTGCTCTACAGAGCGAGTTCCAGGACAGGCTCCAAAGCTACACAGAGAAACCCTGTCTTGAAAATACCAAATCAAGAAAGCCCAAGCCAGATCGAAACTTTCTTAGTTGGATGTCCTGGCTTCCCTATTCTTCCCATGAGTATCTCCAAATAGGCTCATGGGAAGGAACCCTTTGTCCTTTGAGCATGTTTTTCATTAGTGCGTTTCTGGATCTTTGCTGTGCCTCCTCTTTTTGTTACCTGCCTATCATTCTGTTGCACCAGAGACCATCATTTATCTAAATGATGTCTTCATTAATATGCAAGCTGTGCTTTTGACTGGTGAAACCTTGGTTGTAGTGGTGAACTGCAGGATGTGTTCACTTGGGCACCTATGTTAGTAAGTTTGCAAAAGTAAAGCCTGTGGCTAATAGCAGCGAGGACCGATTCTTCTCCGCACCGATGCTGCCATTCCTCCGTTGTCTTTGCTCACTTTAATAACCTTGCTGCTGTGTTCGGTGATGTACCACCTGTTAGCTGTCATTCTTGAAAGCTTCTTTGTATTCCAAGAAAGTATAAACATAGCCATAATCTTCCTAGTGTTTTGATCTTTTGCTCCAAGTAAAATTTAGTTCCTCTTGGGAGTGAGGCAGAGAATCTAGTTTTCAGTGTTTTCTTGATGGAATTGCTAGCAACTTTCCTGAGTGCCATGTAGAGAACTGACATCTTTATTCAGGGTGCGCCAGGCTCCAGCCCTGGACGCTCTTGCTGGAAGCTCTGCTCTCTGCTGAACTCCATGACATAGCTTAGTGCTTCCCAGACACTAAAGACAACTGCCATTCCTGTCTCCTCAGAATTGTGTTCTCTGCTCTCACTGTTTATATTCCATGGGAGCTATGCCATTAAAGTAAACACAGGCCCAGAAAAGCAAACCACAAAGAGTAAGCTAGTGGGATCACACAGGGAAGCGGACGTCTTTTACTGTATTGAACCCTGCTCAGAAACTGAGGATGTAGCTCAGCTGGTAGAGGGCTTACCTGGCGTACATGAAGACCTGGGTTTGATCCAGTAATCCCAGGCACACACCTGTAATCCCAGCCCTCACTCAGAAGATAAAGGCAGAAGGAGCAGAAGGTTCACCCTCGGCTACCTGGAGTCTGAAACCAGCCTGGGACGTATAAGACCCTGTCTCAAAGAAACATTTTATCAGTAACAAGTGTGTCCCAATTTCAGAACACCCCCCCCATCTAAGTAGCACATCTCCAGAGGTAGCTCCCGAGGCTCAAGACCCCCAAGCCTCCTTCCCCGTTTTTTCATTCTATACTCCGTTTTCTGTCCAGAAATACATCTTGAGTGTATTACTCAGTGTTACTCCATTACCACCATCAGGCCAAATCACCTTTACTTCCTGGAGGGGCACTGTAGAGGCTGTCTGTGATTGTGATTGCATATCTTAGAGCAGAAGGGGGTGCTCTCTCCTGGCCTGAAGGCATACACTGTCCCCTGGTGCCTACCCCAGCTCCCATCCCCAGCCTCCACACAAGCCTCTGACCTGCTGGGACCACAGCCATGGGGGTGCTGCCCTCGACATGGCTGTGGCTCAGGCTGGCAGTTGCCAGTGAATGAGATGTTGGCACACATCCCCAGCACTTTGATCTTGTGGCCATTTCTGTGCTGGTGAGAATGTGACAGTCTCTGCTTCTGATCTCTACCAGCTTCTGCTCCCTGACTTAATAGTTGTGCAGTTTCCAGCAGCTGATGTGGGTTTTCAGTTATACATTTATGACAGCTGTTGGAAAATACTGTATTATCTTTGTTTTGTTTTGTTTTGTTTTTTACTATCTACATATTTAGCAATTAACTGTTTATGGTCATGTAATTCTCTTCTAATTGTATTGATTTTCAGTCCTTAACATTTTTCCTTTTGTTTTGGGATCTTTTTCTCGTTGTATATTTATAGTTTTGCTATGCTATGGACTAGATAGATGTGACCTTTGTAAATTATGGTGGCTCTCAGCTCCCTTTTAGTCGGTTGGTGACGTGCATCAGGTGCATCCACCTGTAGTGAAGAGTTCTACTGTGCTCCAGATGAGTAGAATTGTTTTGAGGAAGATCGTGAAAGAGTAAGACAGTGATTCAGAAGAAGATACCAAGCCCAGCGTGGAACTATAATGACTAACACCGGTGTTCTTACACTAGGCGGAAGCAGTAATTCAGTTGCTGGTTAGTCTAGCGCAAGGCTACAGATCCCGTTGCCACCCAGCCTTCCAGCTTCAAAAACAGGTATGCTACATGTAGAGTGTCTGGGAGAAGGGACATGTGTGTCACTGATCTTCCTTCAGAGACATCAGAAGGGCCCCAGGACTTAGTCCTGTCAGGCTTCTGACTAGTTGGCCACTGGATATTTTGAGCTTGTTGCTGGAGTTCTGTGTCTCAGAGTTACAGGTGTTTTTAGTCTCAGGGATGACAGGTGCAGCATTTAGCATGGAACCTAGATGGCTGTTGTGACTGTCTCTTCCTAGAGAGAGAAACAGGTTTTATCAAGTAAGGAATGTCATTTTTTTTCTTCTACCATATAAGACAATTTTCTGTTAACTTATAATTTTAAAAACAAACGTCCAAGCGTTTGCCCCAGGTAGTTCCAATTTGGGGATTATTTAAAATGCTTTATGCTTTTTTTTTTAAAGGAAATTTTATGGAGGGGGCTGTAGTATGTATGAGTACAGGTGCCCTTGGAGGCCAGAGGTTTCTGATTCGCTAGAGCTGAAGTTATAAGCAGTAGTAAACCTCACAGCAGGTGTCTGGACTTGAGCGCAGGTCCTCTTGCAGCTGTACAGGCTGTTAACCACCAAACCGTCTCCTCAGCTCTCAGACATTTTATTCTGTTTCTGGCAGTAGACAGGACAAGATGAACCCCCATGATTGTCACACTCAGAATGGCTCTTGCACAGACATGGCAAGAGAGTGCAACCCCACAGGGCTGCTGCAAACTGGTGTGTGAGTGTAGGGGAAGTCCTAGCTGCCTTAGGACAATCACATCCACTGTAAGGCTTTCCTGGGGACATGTGAACAAACACCCATTCTCCTAGAGCACCAACAGACAGATCAAAGAGACCATTCCACCAAAGACTGCCGTAGCAAACAAGTGAGTTTTGGGGAGTGACTTACAGGATGCCTAGATGCCTCAGGCAGCTGTGTCTGTGATGTCCATCCCTGCAAGGGTGAGTGAGACACAGAGGCTGCCCCACAGCTCTGCACACAGCTGTTGATCAGCCAAGTCAAGAGCAGGAGCAGAGCATCCTCTTCCCAGGGGCTGTCTTCAACTTCTCCTAGCCATGTTCCCCATGGCTTTGGATCTTGTGAGTTCCATAAGATTCCTCTTACGAAGCTTCCTCCAGGAGCGATGCATGGCTGAGGAGCAAATAGCTAAAGCAGTATGGGTGAGGAGGGTCATGTCAGCCAGTTCGCCACCCTCCCACGCCAGTGGCTTCTGGTTTGGGAGCAAGGGCAGGGGTGGTACCCTCATGAGTCTTCTTCCCAAGATACCATTAAAAAGTAGAACTTGCCTACAGGGACCAGCATTTTAAAGAGACTGGACAGGAGGGAAGCTTCTGGATGGTAGACCACCAGGTGACCTGATCGCTGAGCCCCCAGCTGTGGCCCCTGGTAGCATCTTGGCTCTTTTGGGTCCTCATCGATTATCCATCTACACTTGGCGACAGCCCTGTATGCTGTGCTTTCTAAGGCCATTGCTCTGGTTATTGCTGCTGCAGAAGACTGCTCAGCCAGCGACGCCCACACAGCTGCCACTTAATTTGCTGATGTTATTGTGGGGCAGGACCTGCTGAAGGATCTCTTGTGTGGCTTCACCTGGGTGCTGACAAGTTGTTGACAGTGTTGACGTGGGCTCCCTCATCTGGGCTGTTGCCCTCCCTCACTAGATTGCCAAAGCTAGTCACAGTTCAGAGGGGAGGTAGGCCCCTCTCAACTGAGGGAGCCATATTTGTGAACATGCTCATCATCACCCCGACAGAAAGGACCAGCAGCAGTCTCAACAGTCCATCGAATGAACGTGTGGAATGCTTGAGCTCACCATATGCTTTTTCAAATATGCAATCTGTAACAGTTTTACAAATATTGTCTAGAAAGTGACTCAATATCCATGACATTTGGAGCCGACAAATGTTTCCTCCCAGGTGCTGAGCTGTGAGGAAAGCCTCAGGATGTGGGATGTGGTGCCTTTGCCGGAAGAGCAGCGTCAGGAAGCAGCCAGGTGGGTGTCATCTGGACTGGGGTGTACGTCACCTGAGTTGTTGCATGTGTCGTCTGGGCCGTGTGGACCATGGCTGGCAGTTGCAATCAGCACTGAAATGCTTATCTTTGCCCTTGTGCAGGGATGCTAGAAGGCCTTTGGGAGGGAACTTCTGGGCCTGGTGTGTTGGTGGGCCATTGGGCACAGACTGGAGGTGTCTGTCGGGAAGATAAGACACCCTTCAGGAAGGGCTCAGCAGACATGGAAAAGGTCTGGACTGGAGGAAGAAGGGGAGGGACTGTAGAGTAAAGCAGACATGCTTGTAGGACTAGTCTGGACCAAGCCACAGATCACCTTGCTTTCAGCATCTCACGTCATGCATTTTACCCTGCCATGATGCCTGTTTCCATCTACATTATCAGTTATGTGGGAATTCTAATCATTGAAATATTGTGTGTTCTTCAGATTGGAAGGTAATTCTGAAGCATATGCCTGCAACTCTTTAATTAGCAAGATTTTGTGTGAGTTCTGCCGTCATATGCCTGGGAACACCTGTGCTGTAGATGGCTTGGATGGCCTTCCCCGGGAGAGGTGAGTACTGAAGAAACATGCATGGTAAATCTATGACACAGACTCAGAGGTTAGGTGAGGTCTAGTGGGGTTACACATGTGTACTCTGTTCACTGCGGTTGCATTCTATCTGCCTGTCGCTTGCTGAGGTCCACTTGACCCTGCAGACCCCACACCGATTCAGATTTAGAGAAAGGGCTGGCAGCTGCACACACACCGCCCCCCCCCCCTTGTGTGATCCCCGCATGTTTTGCTCTTGCTTGCAGGTGGCCCCAGCTGCTCAGGGAGCTCTGCAGCACACGCATCCCCACCCTGTTCTGCCCCAGACTCGTTCTAGAAGTTGTGGTTGTGCTCCGAGGCATCAGCTCCCAGTGCCAGCGTGTATCCGACCAGGTCATTGCCTCTTTGCAGCTGAGACACAGGCAGTGGGTGGAGCGTAGGCTGCGGTCCAGGCAGCGGCAGAACTATCTGCGCATGCTCAACAGGTAGGCCGCTGTCCTCTTCAGCACCCCTCTTACTCAAGCTGATCCTTCCAGAGAAATTTTAAATTTAGCCTGTGGGAATGGGTCCCACCACCCAAAATAACTGTCTGGATTTAAGCTCTAGAGCATGTTTCTTAGATTTGCCAGCACTACGGTTCTCCGCATTTCCTTAAGAAATAGCTGTTTTGGACATATTTCTAGAACTTTGGGTTGGATGTTGTGATGTTTCGTAGGCCTCTCAGAGCACTTGCTTGTTCATTGCCTTCCAGAAGTTTCTCAGTGTCCACCCAGGTAGTTTATATGGGAGTGCTATTACTTCACTTCCCTCCTAAGATGGAGTGGATTTTTCAGCATCTCTGCTGGTCTCACGGGCTTTAACAGGAATTTCTGGGACCGGGCAAAGTTAAGACACACTCTCTTCTTCCCTTGGTTCTGGTGGACACAGAGCACGAGGCCTGACAGCAGCCGCTGGGTCTGGCTGGCCTGGTGAGTGTTCTCGGAGGCAGCTGCTGCCAGGGAGAGGAAGCGCTCGCTCTGTGGCCTGCAGGACTTCCTTATGAAAAAGGAAGTCACTCTGCCACCGCCTTCACTCTGCTTCCGTTTCAGCGTTAGCCTCTTGTCCGCTGTGCTCCATGTGACTTCGCTGCTCCTTGCACTGGAAGTGGCCAGTGTGCACGCTGTCCAGGGTAAAAGTTCCCAGGAGCGCCATCAGTACCTGAGGTAAGGCTCGCCTGCCTGCTCGCCTGCTCGGAAGAAAGGAGGCGTAGGCAGTCTGGAGAAATTCCTTTAGTGATGTTCTAACCCCCGCAGGTTCTCCTGCCAGTCTTCTCTATATGCTGTGATGCCAACTTTGTGGACGTAACCAACAGCTTCAAACTTAGGAATTCTACTCCGTGTTCAAGTGACTCACACGCACTTCAGTTGGACACTGCTGTGTGGTGCAGTCCGTAGCGTCGCTGTACCGTGGGTACTGAGTGTCATCCGTGGCATCTGACCACAGGCTAGGAGCACTCTCCAAGTGGCATCACCAAGTGTCCCCGAGGAATAAACCTGCCCCCAGACCAAGGCTCTGTGGGTTTCATTGTACCATTCATTTAACATATGTTTATGAACGGAGACATGGCAATACAAAAGGAAGAAAGAGAGTATGCCACATTCGCACCCAGAGAGACACGTGGGCAGGACCTCCTCTCGCTGTGTGTCTGTCTGCCCTGTCTCCGTCTGAGCCAGGTGGCCCTGAAACCTTTGGAATTCTGCCCCCCACCTAAGAGCAGTGTCGGGATCTGAGGGTGAAAAGCGTCTTGACGCCAGTGTCTACAGCCTTGGCCTCAGCACTTTCTCTGTAACAGTTTCTCTGTAACAGTTTCTCTCACGTTCACTTTGCATGCATTTCTTCTCGAGTCCACACACAATTGGGTAATTTCCTGGAATATTTCCAAGAGGAGACAAGACATGTACCCTGGTACAATCTGTAACAGAACAGACAAACTAAAATTCCTCACGGTCTTTTTAACAGGTTCTTAAAATCCATCCTGCAGTACACTGAGAATCTAGCGGCCTACACCAGCCCGGAGAAGAACAAGTGGAAAGAAGCCATCAGTCTTACTCATGCAGTTCTTTTGAGAATTTGCACGTTCAGTGAGAAGAAACAAATGCTAATGCACTTAGCCAAAAACTCCACAAATCAAGTTGACACACGTTGACAAAGAAAACGAAAGTCAGGCTCCTTTTGGCTATGAGAGAAGACTCAGACAGATGCACTGGCCAGTGAGTTAGGTAGCATCTGAATGTGGGATGGATTTCTGGATCATTCTGACCTTGTAGCAGGGATGCTGGTGGCTCTAGGGGAGAACGGAGTCATCCCATGGGAGGAACAGCTCCACCCCTCTCTCATTTGGTGTCACTGTGGCCCCTGGGCCGGTCTTGATGCCTGCAGAAGATCGGGGTTTTCATGCCCTCGTGGTGCCCAGCGGGAGGTGTGGTCACTGCTTTGCCCAGAAACACGTGGCTTCGCATATCCTGTCGACCCCCTGTTCGTTCTTAGGAGCTGTCCTTGTAGCTATGGTCTAGGCATACAAACCGTGGGGGTGTGACAGATAGGCTCAGTTTGATGTGTGGGATAGTTACAGTTCTCCCCAGGGGCAGGATAGTGTTCCTCCGTGTGCATTCTGTGGGTAAGTTAATGAGCAGGAGCAGCCTGTGAAGGTGGAGCTCACAAAGCTGGGTGACAGACCGCAGGTCCCCAGGGAGCACTTGGCAGAGAACACATTTGTAGATGTGAAGGCTGAGTGTAGGAGTCTCTGAAGAGTTGGAGGAGAAGAGACCATCGAATCCCAAGAATTGCCTGAAAGGCCGCTCTCTTGTTTGGGGATCTGGGAAGAGAGAGTTCCTCCTCAGTTGGTAGTGGCAGGATTGGGGAGGCTGCATTACCTGCATATGTGATACCGCACTTAGCCATACCAACCTCAGTGGGCCATGCCTTCTCTCACCCACCTTCCAGACTGTGGCTGGATGTGTCCTGCAGCCAGACAAAGAGACTCTGGGGGTACTTTATGGCATATTCTGCCTGTTCCTTTGTAATTTTAAAGCCCACCACACACACACACACACACACACACACACACACACACACACGTACGTCAGCTTCTGGATAAAATAGTAAAAATACCAAGTTGGTGTTCATCAGTTGGCTTTGATTTTTTTGCTCCCCCCCCCCAGCCCCGGGATTTAACACCTTATTTAAAGAAACAATATCCACATGATGACATACCTCCAGAGAGTCACATAGAGGACCCACAGATGTATCCTACATCTCTTCAGGGATACCATGTTCTCGTGCATAAGGACTTGTCTTTGTGTGTCACGCCAGGGGCACGTGACCCTGCATCCCACATTGCATCACTTCAATAGAAATGGAACCCATCTACATAAAGATGCGTCCTGCATCACATCAGAGATGCGTAATTCGTGTTCGTGCCTCTCCCCAGCCCATTACTCCAAGGACACATCTGCCTTTTTGTATGCTGTCCTTCGTTGCATAGCAGCAAGAGGTGTTTTGTTTATTACTGTGGTGTGGAAGTTGATACCTGTTCTGAAAGGGCAAGGCCAGAGTTCTTTACTATGTGGTATCTCTGCCCTTTGAAATTAACTAAAAAGCGATTTGATACCCGAACCTTACAAATACCTTTTTTCCATGGACCCTCTCCAGACTTTATCAAATACTGACAGTTCTTGCCTCTCAACCCACTTTTTAAATTAAATAATGATTTCTTTTTTTAAACCATGAGTTCCATGTTGGCTTTCATTTTCCTAAAGAAAGGTATCACTTAGGTATGATGATACATGTCTATAATTCCAGCACTTGGGAGCCTGAGACATGAGGACCAAAAGATTATGACCAGCCTGGTCTGTGTAAGGAGACCCCCGTCTTAAAAAAAAAAAAAAAAAGATAAAAGTGTGTGTGTGTGTGTGACTATGTGTGTGACTATGTGTGTGTGTGACTATGTGTTTCTATACAAGAGTAAGGCCTGGTGATAAAAGTTGAGAGGCTTGCTTTCTCCTATATGTCATCAGAAGACAAAGGAAGCTATTGGATGATATGCACAAATTCAAGTATATGACCAACTCTTGGTCGAAGGTGCTACCTATCTATCCCAAGCCAATTGCCACGTGTACCTGCAAAGGAGGCCTTCCCTGTCCTCTCATGGCTGGCCAGCTCTCAGTTCTACAAAGGAGGTAGCAAACAGAAGACCAGTGGGAGAAGTCCACAGTCTTAGGTTCTAAAAGAATTATGAGGGGAAAAAAATGAGTGTTTTCCAGGATGTAGTCCCGGGCACTGTCCCTTATGACTTCCAGCAGGATGAGCCTGTCTGGGTGGATACCACTCCAAATCCTCTCTCCAGGTTGGCCAGAAGCTAGCAGTAGTTATGGGGAAGAACCTGTCTGTCTTAAGGAGAAACACCCTTAGAGCAGGCTAGATTCCATTACAGAATGATTGTGCTTCCCCTGATCAGACACAAGGTGGCACTCTTCATCAAGCCATTTGGCAGCTGTGAGGGACGATGTCTTCAGTGAACTCTTGTGACTCCAGGAAAATGAATTCTTTCCTTTTCCTCTGGCTGCAGTGAGGTAAATCTAAGGTGACTGGAGAGGGAAGTGATCGCCGCTGCTCCCCTAGCCGCCGGGACCGTGGGGGCACTATGCTCACCTGAAGGCCTGGCCTTCCTTTTCATTTAATTCTCTGTTGATGAAAGGTATGAACAACCGTAGTCCAAACCTTTTCCATCCCCATGGGGGAAAAGATTGGTGCTGCATTGTGCGAATTAATCCCCCCCGGGGAAGGCATCGTCGTGGCCAGTGGCGGTGACAGGAGAAAGAGGGCGGTACCAAGGTCACCATTAACCAACCACCAATCACCATCTTGCTGATGGGGGAGGGGAACCCTTTGTCTAAGGGAACTGGATGGAGCTTTGCAGAGGAGTGGGGAGTGGGGGGGGGGGGAATGTGGGCGCTCAGACTTGCAGTGGAAACTGGCTTCTAACCACTCACCCTCCCCAGCTGCAGCCTGAGTTCACACCTTGACATCGCAGCCAATCTGCCAACACTGCTGTTAAGGCATGGGGCCCATTCGGGATTGGCTTTTAGGGGCTGACAAAGAAAATTCTTTACATTGGGTAAAAGGGAGTGTCTGTGGTTTGGTTTATAACCCTACTAAGTAATTTTAGTGAAACCAAATCACACCCCCCACACACCTCCACACACCCCCACCCCACCCCACACCCCGCCCAAGTCTTGGAGTTTAGAGAGCCAGGAGCCAGTTTTCCTGTGAGCTGTGTTGTCTGGATTGTAGAGTATCCGTGTGAATTAGCTGGGACTGTTTAAGTCTTTGATAGCAACTTAAGTTCTCCAAATAAGACCCTGAATAAATACAGGAAGTCCCTTTGACACACCAATTAATTGAAAATGAAATATGCTAAGTTCAAAAAAAGCCAGCCATAAATCTAAGTACTATGCCAGTAGTTACAGTTTATGGAGCTTATCAGCATAGACTTGCCATTATAATATATTAAATATACCTTTACAGAAAGCTTATGTATTTTCAAAGACCTTTGCAGTCCTTAATTGCTCAGGACTTTGAGTACCCCCAAGACAATGTGATGAACTCCATTTAAGAGGATGGAAACGTAGTCCAGAAACCCTGGAACTCCTTGTCCTGGAAGAAGACTTGGGGAATGCTCGTGTCCCTGGCTGGCAGGCCTCCTCTTTGTGGAGATCTGCTGGGCCCTGCACTATTACCTTTCCCCTCCTCTGAGCCATCACTCCCTGGCTGGTTCACAGGGGGTCCCTCTGCATCCCAGAAATAACACTAGTAATCTCAGAAGCCACCTTGCAGCAGCTTGGCAGGGAGGCAGAATCAGCCCATCTCCCAGAAGCAAAATGCAGGGTCGGCAGGAAGGAGGCATGGTCCATAGGCTCAGAGTGCAGAGCTGCCATGCTAAAGCTGTGGGGTCCCAGAAGCCCCAGTCAGAGCAGAGGGTGGGTCTGCAGGCCACGTAGGGCCAGTGGGCACAGAGGATTCCATTTGTCTCAGTTTTGGTTAGGAAGCCTGAGAAAGTAGCTTAGGACCTTACAATGAGCATTGTAAAATTCTAGTGCTCCTGGACTATAACGGAATTGACCTGGAAATGAACCTCTCTCTTCCCAAGCTGGTGCCCCTCACTTCCTACTTGAAACTTATTCTTTCACACAGCGGCATGCTAACCCACTCCCAGGAACCTCTGTGTTAGCTGCCAGTCTTCCTGGGGTCAAATCCCGATCACCCATGTGAACATGGGAGGGCTACACTTCTGCCTTTTTTTGTTTGTGTTTTTGTTGTTGATGTTTTTCTCTCTCTTACCTGTAAGTGCTAGAAAAACTACTGTGACTCTTTTTACATTTGGACCCATCCTGCCCATGTCCAGGAAGAGGTTTGGACCTAAGTTAGTGGCCAAGGGGTCCACTCAATCAATGGAAGTGTTGATCTTCAGCTGCTGTAATGTGTGTAAGTCAGCGTGGGAACAGGAGGTGCGAAGCCACGCCTTAGGGGTCCTCCATGAGGTGTGATACTCACAGGCTGACAAATGGTGGGAATATTGCCCTCCTTAAGTGTTGGTCGTGTCCAGATGGTGCAAACTATCCATTGCTACACCCCACATCCCTCCACCCAGCTCTGCTGTCCTGCCTCCCTTTAGTTCCTGTGCCTGAGCCCCCCCCCCACACCCCTAGTGCTTTCCATGTGGAATATCTCTAAGACGAGGGGCATGAAATTTCAAGACCATTCAGGAATCAGTTCTTATCATGCCTGTGACATTTCACACCTCACTCCCAAATAGCTCGCCCACCCCGGCCCTGTGCTATCGTGCCCAACTTCATGGTGTTGTTTGTTTGTTTGCTTGTTTTGGCAAAGGACCCCCAGGTTTGAGCTAGCTAGCAGGAAGAGGAGGGCTCATGGCTACCCACAGGCCCAGGGCCATCCTCCCGTGCCAGGACCGTGCGGGCTGGATTTGCTGAGTCTGCAACTACAGTGTCTGTGCTTTTATCTCTGCCTACACTGCTTCCGCTACTCTGTTTTGGGACGTACGGGATAATATGCTCAGGTCCCTTAAGGATGTAGAGGAAGGAACCATTTCCATATCCATCTGACTCAAGTTACCATAGTCAGCTGCTGGCCGAGCAAACTGACCCTCAGATGAGTCACAATCTGGCTCACAGAAGGTCACACAGCTCGGTCAAACTCTGTAAGTCCAGTTGAGAAGTCTGTGTCTGTGCTTAAGATGCCCTTGGAAGCAAAGGAGGGTGGGATGCTTAACCCCAGCAACTCCCAGTTGTATGTCTCAACTCCATTCAGGAGACCACCGTGAGACCATGAGGCCCCAGCGGGCATGGGTGGCCAACAGGCAAGGCAAGGCCTCCTGGGCAGCTTGCAAGAGTGAACAGGGTGCAGGAGCTACTAAATGGGACCCTGGAGGGCTACTAGGCTTCCAAATCCAGGGTGCTTCCAGCTCAAAGGAGGGTGAAGTCTGACCCCCAGAGTGAAGCTGTAGGGCAATCAGCTGCGGGCCACAGGGGCCCCGTGAGGCAGCAGCAGGGTCATCTGTGACTGGGGTGACAGGAGCGGGGTCACCTGTGAGCCACCACTGTGACCTAGTCATATCGCTTCCCCCTGCTGCATGTTATCGGAATTGATCATCACAGTCACTGGAGACGTGAAGGACAGAGGAACAGGTGGTGGAATCAGACCGTGGTCAATGGGGTAAGGACATGGGTCACACCCAGGGACATTATCAGGTCACCAGGCCAGCACAGAAGCCCCACCTCTCACCAGGCATTATTACAAGTTTCCATAACCCACAGGGTTTGATTTGTCAGCACTCATCTTTTCCTGTCTGGCTCCTCGCTGGTTCCAGGAAAGCTCTGGGCAGGTTGCAAATGTCTGGGTTGAAACAGCTCTTCCAGGGGTGGGGGGGAGGATGCAACAGAGATTGACAGCAGGAGGGGGTGGGGTGGGGGGCGTGGAGACATCTGCTTTGCCACCCTGCAAAAAGCTGCAGAGTCCACCTGCCCTGACTAG